CCCCCCCCCCCCCCCCCCGCCTCACACCGAGGCCCCCAGGGGTCCAACCCCCGTGATCCCCCCCCCCCACGTCCTCGAGTCAGAGCCCTGACGCCCTGGACCCACCGCAGCTGCGAGGACGCGTCGTCAACCACAGTCCCTCCTCCCTGCGTCCTCCTGCCCCCCCCCCCAGCCCCAACCCCGCCGGTGTCGGGGTATTAACAGCAGTAGGTGCTTCTGGGAGGCAGCAGCGGGGCTCGAACACCCACCAGCCTCACTGTGGCCCTGCCGGGCCGTACGCAAAGGGCCCGCCTCCCGTGGCACATAACTGAGGGCTCTGGCAAGCAGCTTCAGAAGCTACGTGTGCAAACGCCGTGTGCTTAGGGTTTTAGTTTTTCCTCTGAAACTTTGGTTTGAAGGAATCAAGTTGAAAGGGATGAGCTTTCAGGCTTTCTTCTCCTTTCCATCATCGGTCTCCGGCAGGTGGCCCGAGGGAAGCGCTCCGAGTTGGTGCAAAAGCCCACGTTTGATCCCTGTGGCCCTACTGGGAAGCAAGAGGGGAGGGGGAGAGAGGGGAGGGAGGGCAGAAAGCTCGGGCACAGAGCCTCACGGTACATGCTGTGTTCACACGGATACGACCCCGGCCCGGGACAGAAATGTGGACCATTGGGGGGCGCCTGGGGGGTCAGTCGGTTGAGGGTCCGACTTCAGCTCATGTCACGATCTCACAGTTCGTGGGTTCAAGCCCCACGTTGGGCTCTGTGCTGACAGCTCAGAGCCTGGAGCTGCTTCAGATTCTGTGTCTCCCTCTCTCTCTCTCTGACCCTCCCCTGCTCATGGTGTCTTTCTCTCTCAGAAATAAATAAAAAAACATTAAAAAAAAAATGTGGACCATTGGGACCCCAGGTGGGCCCAGATTCACTAGTTTGAGACAATGTATTTCACACTTGGAAACAAGTGAAAACCTGATGGAAGCTGTATTTAACTGACATTTTGTCTGAAAGTGACTACATGTGTGACAGCGGGAAAAGGCAGTGTTGAGGAGCGCTTATAACCTGTCTCCTTTTAGCCCTGCCCCCCACGCCCTGCGTCCTGGACCCCACCCTGCCCCCCCCCGCCACGCCCCTCCCCCAGCCCCAGGGCCAGCACAGGACTCAGGAGACAGTGCCGAGCTGGGGTGGTGTCTCCACATTTTAGGCAGTATTGTGTCCAACGCCATCGCTGCCGTCCCGAAATGAGACTCACATGTGATGTGACCCACATATTCGACTGTTAGTCCCCAAATTGCTATTCAAAAAATATACAAGAGAAAACAAGAGTCATTTAAAGTAAAGGAATACAGGGGCGCGTGGTGGCTCAGTCGGTTGAGCGTCTGACTTTGTCTCAGGTCCTGATCTCACAGTTTGTGGGTTCGAGCCCCGCATCGGCATGGAGCCTCTGTGCGCCCATCTCTATCCCTCGTGCTCGCGCTATCTTTCTCAAGAATAAAACTAAAAAACATTTAAAAAACAAAAGAATACATATTTAAATATGTAAATTCTCAGACATGATTACAGCAGGAAACATAATAAGCCAGTCAGATGCTCACACTTGGATGTATTAGTCTCAATCTTTAAAAGTAAGTTAAAGGGGCGCCTGGGTGGCTTAGTCGGTTAAGCATCCGACTTTCGCTTAGGTCATGATCTCGCGGTTCGTGGGTTCGGGCCCCGCGTCGGGCTCTGTGCTGACTGCCAGCTCAGAGCCTGGAGCCTGTTTCAGTCTGTGATTCCCTCTCTCTCCGACCCTCCCCTGCTCACGCTGTCTCTCTCTCTCTCTCCTAGAAATAAATAAAACATTAAAAAAAAAAAAAAGCTAAGTTCAGAGGCAACACTGTACAGTTTGGCGACAAACTGCAGTGATGATTGTCACCAGTGTCCATAATTCTGGGTAGTGTTCCAGACGCCACCTTGACCGTAATTTTGCTGGAGGCTTCTACAGGGCCTCTGAGGCAGGCGTGCTCTGGGACAGAAAATCAGGGCACAGCTCCATGGGGTCCCTGAGCGCACGCCTACCTCGGAAACCACCGTGAGCCACGGGCTGAGCCTCAACACCACTGACATTTGGGACCAGACATTGTGTTGTTGTGGGGCTGTGTGGTGCATTTTAGGGCATTTTGGGGCACCCCCTCCATGCCAGGAGCACCCCTTCCCCAGTCATGAGGGTCAGA